TACTCGACCTCGACCTCCGCAATGGGTAATCTCATCGAAGTCCTTCATACTACAAAAGAGTACATGAGAGATGTACAGTTATGACCATCGATGGTTATATGAATTGGCTCCTCATTATTATGAGTTTGGTACTGATCGTGAAGTCTTGGAAAGGAAATTAGTCGATAAAAACTCGAAATAGTATTTTAAGTATATTTAAAATGTTTCCAATTATTTATTGTAATTTAATAAATTTTTATACTAACAATTAATAATATATTCGACAATCTGAACGCAATCCTTATTGAACAAGATGGCATACAGCTTTTCAATGAGCAAACTTGCTTTCATAAGACAATGGCAATTGTTATAAAGTCATAATTTATGATTCATAAACATGGGAATTTTTCGAATAGTTTTAACTAGTGCATGATTGAAGAACGGCGATAATAGTGATCAGCATACTGAACAATTTCGATAGACTGTAGATTGCTTACATTGTAGAGGACGAAAAATAATCAGACTCTTATTTTTGTTTTTTTACGCTGATGCGCGGTTATTGATATTTAGACATTTTAAATTCACTGCAAATGACATTTTTTATCCAAATGAAAAGCAGAAAAATAAAAATCTCTTAGTGAAAATTGTGAATCAATTTTAAGGGACTACAATAGATTTCCATGCAATATCCTCACTTTTAAGTGCCTAAATATCAATAATGGACAAGCTTGTCATGTTAATTGTTTTTTAATCTTAATTATTCAAATTACAAGTTTATGAATCGTTTTTTAATCACAATCATAAAGAATGCATTGAAATAAAATCTATTCATTTTTAATTATTAACTTTATTGTAACGATTTAAACATTATAAACATGATTAGAGGCCAATATAAAACGTATTAGAACTAGATTCTATTGTTGTGAGGCTGCTAAACTGAGGCTGATTCCTTGTATTACACTAGTTTCACGGATTTGTATATCAATGAAACAAAATTAAATCTAGCTTCTGAAAATCTTCGCGTGTCTAGATTAACCCCGGCGATGTTCACGGCGATCCTAAACAGTGGTCAACATTTTTAGTATCTACTATTTGAAAGTGTTTCAGATGATTTTTGAGATGCCTTTCCTTTAGAACCTGATAATTATTTTAAAGACCCACAACTTGATTGTAAATTAATCGAGTTGACAATTGTTAATTTGTCCACATAACATAAAGAATCCGTTTTGTCACTTTATTAGGCTCACTGTCCATCATTGGAGACTCTTGTGATTTGTTTTGCTCCCGAAGGCC